CGAGGACGAGGACGATGGGAAAGGGGAGAGGATGGAGGATAGGAGGAGAAGAGGAGGAGGAGGAGGGCAGAGGAGGGAGGTCGCAGCTTGTAGGAAGGATGATGGTGATGATAATGGTAGTGATGGTGGTGGTGCTGGCGATGGTTGTGGTGATGGTGCTGATGATGCTGATGATGATGCTGGTGAGGATGATGCTGATGATGACGATGATGATGCTGATGACGATGGTTGCTGAAGATGATGCTGATGATGATTGAGATAATGATGATGCTGATGCTGCTGATGATGATGATGCTGATGCTGCTGCTGTTGCTACTGCAGCTGCTGTTGATGATGATGACGATGATGATGATAATGGAGGAATGTTGGCTGGTGCATATGTACGTCTACGTTGTGAAACGCATGTATGTTTAAACAGGTCACATTCAGCAAGCTGTGGCCAGCAATTCTTCACACGTGGTGGGCGCGGTACTGCGCCAATTGGACGCCGCGTGGAAGGCCGCCATGACAGCCGTCTTTCGCCACCAAGGACATCCGGGTTTGCGCCCTGGAATTCGGAACACCTGTTCGACAGTTATTTCCGAGGCGTCGATCTCAAATGAGCAAACGTGGCACAAGACAGGGAAGCGTGGCTTTCCCATTGCAAAGGGTGGATGAAGCACATGCTGGTTGCAAGGGTGAGCTCGAATTTGTTTAGTTTCGTGTGAAGCGCAGTAACGCGCAGTTTGAATGTTGTTGAGTCCTGTCTCGTATTCTGGCGATTTTCCTTGTCGTTTCTTATCTCACGGATTGTCCTGAAGGCGGTCGGAGGGCCATTTCGTAGATACCGCTTTAGATTCGATGATGATGAGGATAAGGACGAGGATGATGACGATGACGATAACGGTGGTGGTGATGGTAATGTGGGGTGGGATATGAAAGATTAAGCAGGAGGAGGAAGAGGGGCCGCCGTGTTGCCTTGTGGTCGCCATTTCGTCGGCTCCTTCAAGTCTAAGAGCTGCGCTTACCTTCGGAAGATGGGCGGGACAGAGTGGTCACGGCGGAGGCGGACATCCTCAACGAGCCGAAGGTGCATCGGGTTCCTGCCTTTCGGGCTGCACCCTCACCTCGCGAGCTCGTCTCGCGGTACCTCGACGGACACCCCGTGGCGTTCCCAGGGCCTGGCGACGTGTTGCTGCCCGACGCTCCAACGTTCCCGTCCCTCGCCCCCTGGCCTTGATGGCCTTTCCCTATGACGCGCGGGAGGCGCTGCCCTCAGGCGTGGGATGACTTGGCCCTTCCTCGGCCCTCCTCCTCCTCCTCCGCCTCCTCCGCCCATCTCCTCCTCCTCCTCCTCCTCCTCCTCCCTCCTCCTCCTCCTCCTCGTCCTCCTACTCCTCCTTGGCCAGGGTTCGCCACCACGAAGGGACACCAAGGACCACTTGATGGCGACCCGTCCCAAGGGATCCGGAGAGGCAGATCTCGCGGCAGGCACTACCAGACTTGCCGACGGACGCGAAGCTGCTCGCTGCCGGCGCGAACGACAGGGTGGAGGGCGCCTTGGCTGCGCACTCCCCGAAGGCGCAGCGTGACTTCTTGACCGGCAGGGAACTCCTCGACGACATCGAATGATGGGATGTGCCCGAGTGTCTGGCCTGCTGCGCAGCGCACGGGGAGGCGCCCCGTCATGGCGCCCTTCGCCCCCGGCAGTGCGTTCCCGTCCCTCTCCCTTGCCCGTCCGGTGGAGGCTCTCGTGCGCGCCGGCTCTGACGGCGGCCTCTTTTCCGGCTCGTCCTCGGCATGCTCTGGCGTCCGAGTGCGTCCGTGGCCAGGCGCGGGGCGCCGCTTCGGGTTCTTCCACGCGGGCACCACCCGGGGGTTGCTCGTCGTGTGGCTCGCTGTGGGCCATCGCGAAAAGCCCATCCACATCGCACCGGGGGTCGATGCTCCTGCCTCGTGCTTCCCCTGCGCCGTGGATCTGCGCTGATGACGCCGGCGCGGCGCTACGGGGCAGCCGCCTCGCTCTCCGCCTCTGGGACGCATCTCGGGCGGCAGAGGTTCTCGGGGGCAAGCTAGTGCGCCGTCGGTGTTGGAGGGCACCAAGTCTTGGCTGCTCAAGCCCCATTCGCAGAACACCTCGGCATCGTACTGGACCCAGCTGCAGATGGGGGAATCGCGCGGCAAAAGCCTGGCACAGAAATGGATCCATCGTGCGCGCGAGCTGACAGATGTGCACGCTCCTGCGCATTTCACCACCACCAACTACAACACGAAAGTAGTCACAATGCTCAGCTACGCGATGCAGCTGCTTCCGCTGCCTCGCCGCATGCGTTCCCATGAGATGAGGGCTGGGTTTTTTACAGTGTGCGGCGCCTGCCGCCGCAGTCCATGAGCCGCGCCCGCATCATTGGTTTGGCTACCTGGTCACATTTCCGCCCCGCCAGCATGTTGGCGACAAGCATGGCATCGCGGATGCTGTCAGCGCCCAAGACGGCCACGGATTGGCGGCCATCGGCGATCGTTCAGCGTCTGTGCGTCTGCGCAGCAACGCGAAGAGCGCTTGCCGGCTTCAGTTTTCTCCCGGACCGCCCGATGAGATGCGACATTATGTGCACTGTCTCAGGCTATGGCGAGTCGCGCATGCCCCCGACCCTTCACCAGATGATGTTGCCGTGAGTTTGGGGCCCAACGGAGGTCCCACCCGGGTGCGTAGAGAGAATCGCTCGTGCTTGCCGCGAGCACAATGCGATTCGCACAGCTGCTGTGCCGTATCCCTCGGCGTCAGAGGAGCAGCTGCCCCGCCATCCCTTCTCAAGTCGACGTGCGGCACTCGCGCTTGTCGAGCTGTCTCGCGCGCCCGCTCTCGGCCAGGCTAGGGTCCCGCGGGCCCCCCTTTAGACTCTGGCCACGAGTGAATACACATATATATATATATATATATATATGTATATATATATAGATAGAGAGAGAGAGAGATAACGAGAGAACGAGAGAGAGATAGAGAGATAGAGAGAGAGAGAGAGAAAGAGAAAGAGAAAGAGAGAGAGAGAGAGAGAGATACGGAGAGAGAGAGAGGGGGAGGGGAGAGAGGGAGGAGGTGAGAGAGAGAAAGAGGGAAAGAGAAAGAGGGGGACAGAGGAGATATAATGAAAGGAGAATGAGAGAGAGAGAGAGAGCAAACAACAACAGAGAGGAAAGAGAGAGAGAGAGAGAGAGAAAGAGAGAGAGAGAGAGAGACAGGGGGAGGGAGAGACAGAGTAACATACATTCTCCCAGCAGCGTTTGCAGTCCTGGTCTCTTCGGTGCCTTTTGAGGAGCTGGGCCCCTCTGCCGAGCCCGCCGCCCCCGTTGCCGCCGTCGCCGCCTCGTCGCCGCCCAGTCGGCTGGGCTCGTTCGTCGGATCCGCTTCCCTGCCGCCGCCGCCCGTCGTCAGGGCTCGCATGTCGTCTCGTCGACGCGCCGACGCCGCCAGGTCGCCGCCCGTCGTCAGGGCTCGCATGTCGGGCCCGCTGCCTTGTTGCCGCCGTCGCCGCCCCGTCGCCGCCTCGAAAAATTGCGCCGCGCAGACTGCTCCTCGTCGGCGGGGCAGCATCGGTTCTCACTTCTAGAAGCGGCCCCCTTCGCGCATGGCGTTTTCATGGCTATTCTGCCCCATCGTCCATGGCAAATGCGAAGTCTTCGAATCCCAGCTACAACGGTATCGCCCTGCGCGCGTGCTGTCGCAAGAACCTCTTGCAGCAAATGGGACGAAGTGCGCGCGCGCGCGTCGTCGCGCAAGCATGCCGAAATCGTTCAACAACCTTAGGTCCCGAAGGCGATTTTAAAGTTAAAAAAAAAAACGAGTGCCCCGGAATCGCACAAACAAACAAAGCACATGGTTTTGCAACGCCAGTTTTCAAAAGAACTTTTGTGTTCGCGCTCCTGCGAAATCTTAAGAGAACCACAGGTTGTCCAACGTGATCACTACATTCGGCCAAACGGGCCTTTCGCGCCGCATGTGGAAATCATCCGAACGCCCTTGCGTTCGTGCCGGCGGGTGAGGCGGGCACGATCCGTGTCACAAAGTTCCATGCGGGCCTTTCTCGCGCATCGGCCGCGCGCGCATGTCGAGCTCATTCCAAAACCTCCTTCACCGACGCGAGGACGCCGTCATCGTCGTCGGCGTGATCAGCATCGGCGCCGTCATTGGCCTTGCCGTCGTCGTTGTTGTCATCGTCGCCAGCATCGCTACCATCATTATCGTGTCTACCGTTGTCGAAGTTGCCATGATACCGCGCCCGCCCAAGCCGCCGCCTCGCACTGAAGCGTTCGTTTGAAAATGCCCAGAGGTCAGCGCCACTGCGGCCGTGTCGGTCGCGCCAAAGTAGCTGGCCGGTGCGCGCGCGAGCATGCGCAGGCTAGCGCGGCAACATAGATGCACCAGCTAACGCCGAGCACTCATCGCAATCGTCGCCGCATGCGTTTTGCAAACCGCATTGCGGGTGGGAGTGCGCAAGCCACTGGGCACAGAAATCAGTTGTGCCACTTAGATTCGCTTGTCTACAAGGGTAATAGAATCTACCCCCGCCCCCAGATTCAACCGTCCACTTTTTCGTATTGCAACTTCCACAAGATTTTGTCCCATTGTCCATCTTAAATCTGAGTTCGTATCATCCCAGCCGAGCCGGCAACGCCCCCGTCATATTGTGGGAAAGTACGATGCGCGCGCACTCGTTTATCACGAATCATCAGTGTCCAAAGCCCCTTTTTCAAAACCAAAAAAAAAAACGGGGCGAAGTGCACACGCGCGCGTCGTCGCGCGCGCATGCCAGAATCATTCAAAAACTCAAGGTTGCGCGACGATTGCAACATCGAGCGTCCCGAAATCATGTAAAACATACGTGTGTTCGAAATCAGGGGCTCTGGAAAAAAAACTCGCGCTCTTGCAGATTCATGTTCGGAATATGCTGCCAAACCGACTTCTCGCGCGCGCGTGTCGAAATCGTTCGAACGCCCTTGCGCGCGTGCCCTCGCAAGCATCGTTTGCAACAAATGGTACGAAGTGCGCCTTCGTCGTCTCGCGCGCATGCCGACATCATGCAAAACAATTTTCGTATGATTTCAAAGACGGCGGTCCCGAACACATACAAAACACATGGTTTTGCAACGCCCGTTTCCAACAAAACTTGTGCCCGCAAAAAACAACATTACCATCACATTCTGGCCGCGCCGCAGTAGCTGGTCGCTGCGCGCGCGAGCATGCACGGGCTTGCGCGACCGCGTTTATACACCAGCCAACGCCGACCACTCATCGCAATCGCCGTCGCATGAGTTTTGCAAACCAAGTTGCTAGCGTGTGAAGGGGATGATTGCGCGAACAATGGAGTTAACAACTCAGTGCGTGCACAGGTGAATTGTTCCACGAAGTTTGCGCCGCTTTAATGGCTCCACGTAGATTGCATCACGTGGATTGTTTCACGTCGGTTGCACCATATAGATTGTCATAAGCCCACTATTCGGGGTCCACTCTGGCTAAATCGTATATGCATCGATGGACTAAGAGGGACAGAGAGAGAGGCACAAACAATGAGAGAAGGCAGAGAAACAGAGATAGAGAAAGAGAGACAGAGAGAAAGAGAGAGATAATAAACCTAGAGATAAAGAGAGAGAGAGAGAAAACAATGACGAGGGACAAATTGCGATTGGCCAGGGAAGAGAGAGAGAGAGAGAGAGATAGAGAGAGAGGACAAACAACAACAACAACAACACGACACATATATATATATATATATGTATATATATATATAACAACAAAGATAAAGACTGAGAGGGAAAGACAGAGACAGAGAGACAAACTGTGATCTACATACAACTAAGCATAGGAATAGGTATGCACAGCTGCTGGAGTGGGAGAATACAGATATCGGGGAAAGAGAGAGAGAGAGACAAAGAGAAAGAGAGAGGAAACAAACACAAAAACATAGAAGGAATGACACAAACACGCACGGCTAGACATAAGGATCGCGAGGGAGGAGGAGGACGAGGACGAGGATAATGGCGACAATCATGATGGTGACGTCAACTGTGACGATCTCGATGGCGACGGTTATGGTGTGTTGATGAATTGATGACCATGGTGGTGATGTTGATGATGGAAGGAGGCGGGGGAGGAAGAGGAAGAGGAGAAAATGAGTCTTGGGGGGGGGGGAGATTGGTGGTCTGCGCGCAATGTTTTGTGCTCCCATCGCGCGACAGTTTCCCGCGGCGTCCGCACAGTGTTTTTTTGTAGGCTGGATCGGCCACGTTCCTTCGCCGTGCCGCCAGAGACGCGCTTCCGGACACGGCGGGCCGGCTTCGAGACATCTGCGTGCGGCGCGCCTCCCGGAAAGAGTGCAACCACGGGTCGCGCGCGCGCACGCTCGCGACCACCCTTTCCCGTTCCGTGGCAGCAGAGATCCCTTCCAGTTGTTGTCGCGAGCCTCGGGGAAGGAGGACATGCGCGCGTGCGTCTGCGTAGGGGCCGCGCGTGCGTGTAGCTCCCTGCCCCCCCCCCCCCCCCCCGCTGCCTCATGGCCGCTCCTGGCTGCCACCCCCTCCCGCTCCCTTCCCTCTGCCTCCCGTCCCCGTCCTTCGCCTTGCCAGCCAAGACGCTGACCTCAGGACTGCTTTGGATTCAGGAGGGGCTCCGTCTCCCGGGCCGTTCCGCGGGGTCTTGCTTGGGGTCGTTGCGCCGAGGCTCGCCGCGGCCAGGAGACACCCCCTCCGTTCCGTAGCTTGCGTCCCCTGTGTTATAGCACGCTGACTGCATGTCCCTCTCTTCCCTCCTCGGGTACTTCGCCCCCGCCCCCTCCACCTCCCCCCCCGCCCCCGCGGCCTGTGGCAGCGCGGGCGCGCGTGACCACCACCTCCTCCTCCCCTCCTTCCTCCTCCTCTCCTCCTCCTCCTCCTCCTCCTCCTCCTCCTCCTCCTCCGCCTCCTCCGCCTCCGCCTTCTCCTCCTCCTGGTCCTCCTCCTCCTCCTCCTCCTCCTCCTCCTCCTCCTCCTCCTCGTCCTCGTGCACTCCTCCATCCGCCCTCCCCCCTCCTTCCCTTCCTCCTTCGCCTCCGCTTCCCGCCCCTCGCCTCCCTCCCTGCCACCGTGGCCAACGGCCGATGGCCCAGCTCCCGCCCTCGCCTCCTGCCCCTCCCCGGGCGACCTCCTCCTCCCTCGCCCCCCCCCGGCGCGGCGCGCCACTCCGCCCCAGACGAGCCGCGCCCTGCCCCCCCGGGGTGGCCGGCCGGGCCATCGGGGGAGGGGGGGTCGGCGATCGACGCTCGATCCATACCCCTGCCGCTGCCCCCCACGCTGGGCGCCAGGGGCAGCAGGGGCAGGGCACGCGGACAAAGAGGCGCGGCCCCCGAGGCCAGATTTCTATCCGCGCCGCCGCTCTGGCGCCTCGTGGGGTCGGGGCGCATGGGCAGGGCAAAGTGTCGATCGCCCAAGGAGGGGGAGGGGGCGCGGCTGGCCCTGGCGCGCGCCCCGCGCGCGGGGGGGGTGCTCCCCCGCCATCCGGCGGTCCCGAGGTGGGGCCGCGAGGGAGGTTGCGCGTATAGCGCTTCGGGAGCCCATGGCTTCGGGCCCGGATGCTCTGCATCCGGCGTAGGGGGGCGCGCCGAGGTTTGGAGAGTTTGGGGAGGAGCGGCGACATGACCCGAACAAGTTTGATACAAAAAACTGAACAAGTGTGAACAGAAACTCCTGACAAGTGTGATAAAACAACTCCGAACAAGTGTGATACAAAACTCCGAACAAGTTGTTTTTCACAGTTTTGTATCACACTTGTTTTGTATCACACTTCTGCTGCGCCGTGGGCGCAGGCCCTGCGGCGTGTGCCGCCGCACGTGCAGCGATCCGAGGGTGCGACGGGGCCCGCTCCACGTCCACCGCCGCTGGCCGGGCCCATCCTGGGCAGAGGGGCGGTGTCTACGCCGCCTGGCTCTTGGCATCGCTCGGACGTGTGCATTTTTCCTTCGGCGAGGACCATCGAGGAGCATCCTTGATCATTTGGCGAAAAAGCCACGCACGAAACCGAAAAAAGCACAGGGAATGGACGTCCGAGCGATGGCCAGGGCTTGGCCAGGGAGGCTTCTTCGCCGCGCCTGGCTCCAGGATGGGGGATGGGCCTGGCCAGGGTGGGGCGATCGCAACCACGGATCAAGGGGGGCGTGGAGTGGCGACGGGCCCCGCTTCCACGGGAAGTCGCGGAGTTCCGCCGCCGAGCGAGGCGGCGCCGGCCGCACTCTGGGGAGGGCACCTCCCCCGATCCCGCCGATCTGTCGGGGGAGCGTAAGACCCGGGTTTGCCAGGACTCGGGTCCCCCATCGTTTTTTGACGACCGCGCCTCGGATTTTGACGAGGAGGAGTTTCGTGGGATGTCTGCAGCGGGAGGCCTCGTCAAAATGCAGGCTCGGCCTCGTCATTTTTTTGACGACTTCGTCGGGGATTTCGAGTCCCCTGTACCCAGGTCTTACGTTCCCCTGAATCTGGCGACCGCGCGCCACAGCCACGGATCGCCAATCCGCGCCCGCGCGCCCCCGACAGAGGGGCAGCGGAGGCGCACAGACCCCGCCGCCCTGCCTGGGGGCCCGGGCCTCCGACGATCGTGGCTCAGGAGGAAAAGAAACGCACAGACACAATTCATCGTCGATCCCCCAGAGAATATGGGAAAATAGGGGAAGTGGGGGGGGCGAGCGCGAGCGAGCCACTCGAGCATGCCTGCCGGCTGCTCGGCCCTGTGCAGGGCATGGGTGTGCAATCAGTCTACCAGCCAGACAACAAATTTGTGAGACATGAACAGAAAATGGAATTGGGAATCCCAGAAGATATTGGGAAACTATGGGGAATCTGTTTCTTTGTGTGTATTTATCTGTGGGTCCTGGGGCCCCTTCCGTGGCGCGTGCTGCCCTGGCGATCTGCCTCGAGCTCGGGCCCCCGAGGGGCCCGGCCTCGGGCCGGGCTCCGGGGCAGCACCGCGGCCTCGAGGACGAACCACAGCGGCCTGAGCAGAAGCCTTCGGCGCTCCGCGCGGATTTCCCGTCCCTCCTCAGAGGCCAGCAATATATGTACACGTACGCGGTTAGTTTCCCCTGGAGTGCGTGTCAATGCGGACGTTCGTGCAAGCAAGACCGCGGAGGGCGTACATGTACATATGTCGTCCCTCCTCCTCGTCCTCCTCCTCCTCCTCACCCTCGTCATCCTAGGTTTGCTTCTCCCCCCCCCCCCTGGATCCGCGCTGGGCCCCCCTGGCGCCGCCCCTGGCGCCGCCCCTGGCGCCGCCCCTGGCGCCGCCCCTGGCGCCGCCCCTGGCGCGCTCCGCGCGCCAGGGAGGGGGGCCCAGCGCGGATCCAAGACATCCGCGCGGAGCGCCGAAAGTTTATGGTTATGCCGTTGTTTGTTCCTCCATTGACAGCGCACGGCTTGTATAGTCAGGCAAATTGCAGTAAGCCGCTGCAGCGACTAGCACTACTGTCAGCGTCGCAGTGGCTACGTCGTACACGGGGCTGCGGTGTCGTGTGCGGGGTGTCTCACCGCTAGTCAGCACGTGACCTCAGTCACGCAATGGATAAAATTACTATACAAATCGCTCGCATGTCGTCGCAGAAAAAAAAAAAGCTCTAGATCCGCCGTGCATTCCCGACACATCCCATTGCTAGCAAGTCGGGTAATTAACCAGAGTGCGGCGGATCCGGAATCAGTTACGTTACATCTTCGGGGGACCTCGTACGTCCCCTAAATGATGGCTTCTTTCTTGTGCCCGACGCGGGCGGGCTCGATGCAGTTTCGACGCGGATTTGGCCTGGATTCGACGCGGATTTGGCGTGGATTCGACGCGGATTCGACGCGAGTCCGGCGTGGATTCCACACGGAGTCGACGCGGATCGGGGCGCGACTGGGCAGACGAGGTCCCCCGGAGGTGCAGCATCACATCGGGGCGGGGCCGCGCATGGATAGATATCATCACACCGTCGGCTGTGTGGGGGTGGGGCAGGGGCCCTCACCACTC